ATTCAAAATGTAAAATTAAGATCAAAATAATTTTTTTAAAGAAATCTCAAGCCCTATTTTTGTCCCTTTTCATGCAAAGTGTAGTCAGATTATGAAATGAGCATTCGTTGCAGAGTGTGAAGGCAGAGGGTATGAAGTGAAAGGGTGAGGTCTTCTCAAGTCTACTGTGCGACCACTGGCTAACAACTTTTTTTTGCCTTTTTTTTTTGTTGCTTTTTTTGTGTGTAAACATCCGTATTCATGAAAAACATGGTAGCTAAGCTTCCCTCTTGCCTAAAATGCTTGTCCTCGTGACTTAGTTCTGGATGGCTTACTACGTTGATTAATTTGGTTTCTGTATGTTTTTTCTGTGTTGATTATGTGTGCATATCAGATGACTAGAGTGACCCAGGCTACACTACTACACTAGCCTGACTCAAGGCTTTGTTTTCCAAGCCACTATACCCGCCGGGGCCCACGCTGCCTTCAAGGGGGGAATGTGACCAGGAGCGTAGCTGCTGAACCTTCCGAGATGGACACCTTGTCTCTTTTTATTTTCTTTTATTTTAATTTCCTTTTATTTATTTTTATTTCTCTCACATGTTGTCCCTTTTTTGCCTCTTAGAAGAGTTGCATATTCATTGTGTTTTTTTTCCTTTTTTTCCTGTCCCCTTGTCCCTCGTCCCCAATCACACAGTTGCACCCCTTTGCCTGTCTTTGAACGCTGTCCAGGTTGACTTGCCACCCAGTGTTGGAGGGAAGTTTGAACGGTACAAGGGCAGCTCTTACTGATATCTAATGCATAAAGATTTCCTCCTCTCTCTCTTTCTCTCGCTCCTCTCCACTGATCTGCTTAGGGTTTTACTTAGAATGAATATTACTTATTCCTTCATTATTTAATATAGCCACACAGTGCCTCACAAAGTATTCAGACCCTTCACCAATTTTCTGTTTTTACTGAATTATAAGTACTGAAATAGATTTCTTTTTCATAGCACTAATTGCATGTCAGGTTTTTTAGAAAATATTCTTAAATGTTCTTGGTTATTAATTATTATTTTGTCAGTTATTTATTCTTATTTTATAATTTATTCTTAATATTCTTAAAAGACAGTAGCAGTTACTTAAATTTTGAGCACAGTATGTAGTTATCTTTAGCTGTTTGATGCTCAAATATAGCTACATGTTCAATGTTGGATTGAGATCAGGACTTTCAGTTTTCAGAGCTTCAGTTTTTAAGCTAAAACAGGTTGTCTTGCAGCATTTTTTAATGCATATTTTCTAGGGCTGCATGATCTATCAAAATAAAATTGACATTTCAATATGGCTTAGTGTGAATATAAAAATAGCAAAGGTTGCCATTTAATGAAATAAATAAATGTGCTATGATTTTGGATTTCATTTACTTAAGCTACTGTAAGCCTAATAGTTTAACGTTTGAAAATAAATAAATTAAGATGTAAATATTAGTATTATAATTTTACAGACATATTATGAAATTGTTTTAATATTTGTGAAATATTTGTGCCTGTGAAAACTCAAGGAAAGACTCTTTATTTAAAAAAATAATTTTTAGCTTTTTTAATTTTTATTTTACTAACTGCTCACCTGCAAAATCACCCCAGTCATTCTCAGGGATGCAAACGTGTCTCATTTCGGTGAAATTCGCCATTTTGAATTCAAAATGGATCATTTGTGTGATTCGTGTAGATCCGGGGAGTTTCTACACGTTTCACTCCTGAGTCCTATGTGTTTTTGTGTGTACGCTCTGGTTTCCAATTACAAAACCAAAAGTTTAAATTTACAGTGTTTTTGCAGCGTTGCGTATTGTAGCCAATCACAGGCATCTGTGTTAAAAGCAATGGCCAATCAGAGGTGTTTACTGTAGGTTAGTCAGAATCCGCTCTGAACCACTGATCTATAATAGAGTTGTATAGGTCAGTGCTCTGAACTAATTTTGGTTTTCGCAAGTTTACGGAGTTCTACACGCTCACATATCTTCCTAATATTATAAGAGAAAGAGAAAAAAAAGCATACACAGTGCACATATTGATAGTCTAGTTCAGGAGTCACCAAACTCGGTCCTGGAAGGCCGGTGTCCTGCAGAGTTGAGCTCCAACTTGCCTCAACACACCTGCCTGGAAGTTTCTAGTATACCTGGTAAGACCTTAATTAGCTGGTTCACATGTGTTTGATTAGGGTTGGAGCAAAACCTGCAGGACACCGGACCGAGTTTGGTGACCACTGGTGTAGTTAGTCATTGATGATATCAGGAGTTTACATGTGCGAAAGCTTGGTCAGTTGCGCTATAAAAATGGAACGCCCTTTGCTCGGTTTCTCTAGCTTTACATCAGGGGTTTTCAACCTGTGTGCCAGCACCTTTTAATTCAGAGGCATGCACTTGGCATGTGTATGCCTGTCAAGTTGTGCTCAGAAACAGGCTCAGCCATCAAGCTGAGTCAGGTAAGGAAAAATTTAAGGGGGTCTGAATTCTTTCCGTACCCACTGTATTTATGTTTCAGTATAATTATGCATGCTGGACCAGGGGTGGTCCTTTTTAGGTGGGCTTTATCTATCTATTTGATCACTTAGGGTAAACGTCATATTATGTGACTACACATTATGTCCTTCGAGCTTACAAAAGTCTCCGGTTACTGAACGTAACCTCAGTTCCCTGAGGGAATGAGACGTTGCGTGCAGCTTGCTGACTCATTGGGGAAACACCTTTCTCCTTAGAAAACTGAAGTCTGATTCGCTTAATGCCATTACTCTACAATGGCCATTAGCATGTGAAAATTTGGGGGTGTGGCACCCCTTTTAACACAGAGCTTGGTGCCATTTTCCTCAGAATCTTCGACTGAACAAGACCTGAGCGAAAGTGACATGGCACGAACGCAATGTCTCATTCCCCTCTCAGGGAACCGAAGTTACTTTTAGTAACCAGAGATGTACCATTTAAAAATTTCTCTCGATGTTGCGCGCAGCTTGCTTGTGCGAACCCAAGTTCGCTCCTGTTCAAGCAGGTGAGCTTGAATGGAGATAGAATCCAGACTCACACCCAGGAAAAGATTTTTGGGTTGCAGCTGGCTTTTTTGCATATTGATTGTTAGGGATGGCTCGATACCACATTTTCAGAACCGATATCGATCCGATACCAGCGCAGTTTTTTTTAAATCAGTGTAGAGTTTCTATACCTCAATGTGTAGGTCGATCATCA